CCGACACACATAAGTGTTCACAGATACAAACCCAGCGTGTCAGGGGGATGACATGGAGGAAAAAGAAATAAAAAAAAAATGGAATCAAGTCAAAGAGATCATTAGAATGGAAAGTTGTGAATATGGTGAAACATTAAAAAAGAAAAAAGAAGAAATACGTTTAGGCAAAGGAGAAGATTTAGGAAACAGACTTCTACACACTGAGAGATCCCATGTTGGAAAATACTGTTGTTGGGCTTTGAAGAGTAGGGGTAATGAGGCTCCATTTAAAGCCAATGAAGGCGCTTTGGCAGCTTATGAAAGCATGATTGGTAAGCCCCCATCGCCTGCTGCTAGGATTGTGTCTCGATGTGGGTGTGTGTGTCAGTAGGGGAGGAAGGAGGCAGAATGGACACTATTCACCCTGATCACTGGTGCTCTTTTTCACTGAGAGGCACATCTCTCACAAACATTTCCTTAGAGCCCCTTGAGTTTGCATGACAAGCAGTGGAGTAGTCTACTGAGCACGAATGACTGGTCTAAATTTGACTCATTAATGCAACTCACACTTTGAACTGAACTATTTCTATAAACGCTCTCTGTAATTATACACAGGCATGAAGGTGGACCAAGAACAGACCAATGTTTGTTGGCAGAGTGAAAATGCTCTAATCTGTTATATGGTATTAAACCTTGTTAGATGAAGGGATGGACAATTTTAAAAATGTTGAAGAAAAAACAAAAAAAGTTATATTCAAAGCAAGTGGAAAGCCTTGAAGATGTTTCTTTATATTGGAGGCATGTAACATGTTCACAACACAACGCATTGATAAAACAAGTTCTCCTCTCATTCTTGTGGTGGTAAGACAGTAAATCAACACCACTGAGGCGAAAACACCACCTTATGTAAAGATCAAAATGTATGTTGGCCAAAACAACAAAAAACATCCAAACAATTTTTGCACCAGTTTCCATGCATCCATTATTTAAAAAATTTCAGGCAGGTTGCTTAAACTGTTCCGGTGCAATGTGAACTGGACACAGAAGGAAAGCTGACTGGTGGCCAGCACAAACAGGATGGATGCGCCTGACGCAGAGACACACAAACCGCCATCATCTGTGCAGACGCTCTCAGCGGTCTCAATTCTCAGAGCCTTGAGGGCCACGCCTGGGGAGACGGATGATAAATGGTTGGTTTTCCTGCTATTTACCTTGAGGACAATGAATGGAGACGGCCTATTTGGTTAGAGGGTGAAGAGACGAGGAAAGAGGAGACTGTAGGTGAGAGAGAGGTGAAGAGGAAAAAAAAACGAGAAAGACAGGAGCACATTTCCTGCTTTGGGCCTTTCTCGGGAGTTGGGTTTCCTCCATGGTGAGGTACACATTAAAATGTGTGTATGTGCACCTCATTGTTTATTTACAGATGTTTAGCTCTTGCTGTGCTCAAGGATGAGGGAAACCTCTCTACCCAGTACTCTTCTCCTCATACCCCCTTCAAGCCCCTATAAGTACAAAGCAGAATTTACAACAATTTCCTATTTTTCCATAATATCTGGAGCTCAGGATAACGGCTGATGGCAAAGAGACAGATGATCGACATATACACGTAGTTTCATTAGCTAATAATTTATTTTTGACCATTTAGATGAAAAAGTCAGTGGTTCTTTGCCTCAGAGAAAAATGTACAGAGAAGACATAATAAATGTGAAAAGCAGGACTGGACTAACAGAAGAATCCCCCCCCCCCCAAGGAAGGTAGATGGTGCATTGTTATTCCAAGTGCATTAATGTAACAGAACATGGTGGGCTCATGTGTCAAGTTCCATCTGTACCTCTTTGGGAACAGCAAAGGGTTCAGTCAGTCACATTTCTTTTTACTTTAATCCGCTGAAAGTCATTGACAATGCGGCTGTTGTTGTCTGGAAACAATAAAAAAAGATTAAAAAAAAGAAAAATGAAATACATTCTGTGTTATATTTGAACCACCTCTTCTGGTTGTAATCACAAAAGCATATGTTTCTGGTTTCTACATCCATATAACATCCATAATCATCTGGTTTGTACATCCATACATGTGAGTCATCCCAGGTCGAGTGACGCTTTACAAAAGACAACATAAATGGCAGCGGAAGTTCAGAACATATTTACAACATGACCAATGCATCATGACTTATTAAACAAGCCAAATGTGGTGATAAAAACAAACATGTGTGTGATATTCCTTCCTCACCAAATATCAAGACACCTCTACACAAACATTAAAATCTTGTAAAACTTGTCGTCCAACTTTCAAATAAGAGTTCTCTCACCTCACTGCATGTTAAGCTCATGTGCATATCACTTTTTTGCTCAGGGAGGTTAATTAAACACATAAAGTTACACGCATACACCTGCAAATGCTATAAATACTGAAAAGGGGGAGGGGAGGGGGGCAAAGCAGTTACACGGCCTCAGTTCCACTGCCAAGCTTGTTAATGTAAAACAACAGGATGGCTCTCCCTATGAGGCTCACTAAATAGCTTTCACAAGAGCAAACTAAATCTGGCCCATTCTAACTATCCAACATTCAGGGTGGGCACTTCAGAAAAGAAGGAATGAGAGCCAAATGAGAACATTCTGCAGTACCACTTGAAGGAAAGAAAGTGTTTAAGGACACTACAGTTCCTAAACCAATGTGTTGTACCAGATTGGAATCATTCGTGAATCCATCTTAGTGTGTCAAGCCATACTTATATACACAAGTTAAAATGGTGCTACTGTAACACCACCTGTCTGAAACGCTGCTGTGGGCAGCCAACACACAGATTATTGACAGTATTGTCCTGCATTTTCGTGAAATTGAACAAGTGTAGGCCTTGCTATACAACAGTTTTGTCATAAACCAATGTCTGAATCCGTTCTTCTTTGCTTTTTTTCCCGTCACACACCAGAAATCATGATGGGTGATATCTCATTTTGGTTGCACATTTTTTTTGGATTGGATTATGAAAAAATAAAAACAGAATAAAGAGATGCAGAAAGAAAAGTAACAATCGTTTGAACATCTAATGATGTTCAGTGTATAGAAAATAGCTCTAACTATCATGCCATCCACATTTTTGATTGTGAAAATAATATTCAGTAAAAAGTCCGGCTGCACACCTGTGAGCCTGCGATCTTCGCAGGTTGACTTCCTGTACATTCTTAAAAGAAACTGAAATGAGGGCTACAGTGCATAACATATCTAAGACACAGTACACAACATGCAAACAGAGAGTTTGGGGAGGGTTGTGGTTGACAGGGAGGGCAGAGAGATCAAACAAATGTCCACAACCAAAGGAGGATGACTCTAACTAGCATGATATGCTTGTATCACACTCACTGCCAAGCCACCTTCAATTGTCCCTCCAACTTTCTTTTACATTTTATTAAAAAAAATCACAATATCTGTTAAAAGAAAAACAAAAATCCAACAAAAGACAGAAAAAAAGAAAAAAAATTGAGAGCAACCAGATGGTTCTTTATGGTTTTAGCCAGTCCTGACTTTCATAGTGTCTTAATTAGATTCCAAAAACTGACTCTGCTTATTTGGCAAAGAATAACAGGGTTTTGAATTAACGTGGGCATGCGGTGGAAGACAACTCTGGAAGTTTTCCTTTGGATCTTGATGCTCATATTGGTTTAGTTCCCTCCCTGCTAACTGTTGGACTCTGATGGACCGGCTAAAAAAGCCACAAACATGCAAACATAACAAAGCACATGAGGGATGAAACATGATCATCTCATGTTAAATTACAATCAGAGAGCACTAAAAACTTTCCATCCTCATTCATTTTGTCAAAATATACCAAAGCAAAGACACAACTATGATGTTTATCTTACTATTTTTCTATTTTTACTGCATGACAAGGAACTTTTGTTTAAATCTGTTATGTTGGCCAACAAAAAGCCTGCCGGTTTTCACACACATCAGACATTTCAAAACCATCTGGAAGACGATACACAGAGGAAGACATTAGAGGAAGTCACTGGAAATGTTGGTATTGTTCTAAAATACCAGTTATTTGTGCATGCCACATAGGTTTCCTCCCCAAAAAGTAATAAGCAATGAGTCATGATGGTGATGCATAATTTTATAAACCACAGATGAGAGGTGTGCTGACGAGGCACAACCCAAAAACGTGACTCACACATGCCCATAAGGTTGGTTTTGTTTACAATCAAATAAATGGATGAGTCTTAACAAAGGACATATGGATAAATGAAATAGCAAAAAAAGAAAAAACAAAAAAAAAGATCTAATAGGAGTGATATCTGCTGACCCTACATGAGGAGTTTAGTCTGTGAGGGCTGTGTGGTGGCAGCAGCAGTGGTGATGTGACCGGTGTCTGCTGTGGGAAGCCCTTGGTTTCTCATGGGACACAAGTCTCTCAGTTAGCACCCAAAAAGTTTACTAAAAAGACCTGGAGCAAGTAGGCCCGTTTCAGACGCTGAGGGGTTGCTCAAAGCCGAGTTTGTTTCAATGATGAAACATGAGATCTCGTTGCTGAAATAAGTCAGTCTCTGAAGAAGTGACAATCACTGTGGAGTCAAATCATCACAAGCGTGGAGCATGAGTAATGGTGCCCAGTCTCACTGTATATGGGATTGCTCAAGCAAGCAAAGGGAAACATTTTGAACAGACGGAGGTTGCGTGTCTGAGGGTTGTAGATGAGTGACAAGTGGACATTTCCGTGTTGTCGTGATCGAGGGAATGGCGCCTGCTTTTGTCTACAATTCAAACCCTTTTTAATGGTCCCTTTTCAAGGCAAACCAATTGAACAAACAGACGAGTGGCATAACGAAGACAAAACTTTAAAAATCAAAATAATTATACAATATACACAAAATGTGGTCCTTAAAAACAGGCAGGGTACATGCAGTCTTTGTGATGTGCAGTTTACCCACGATAGAGGTGGAGAAAAGAATCATGGGATGGGACACAGTCATGGTTCATGGAGGTGTGTGACGGGGGAAGAGGTAGGGGCGGGCACTGTTTTTCAATCATGCTTTGCCGCATTTTCCCTTCTTCTCTTTGCGCTGGAACTTCCGCAGACGTCTCGTCCAAATGTCTCTCCACTGAATCACAAGGCTGTTCTTATCAGCTACAAGGCCAATGCGCTCTGCCCCTGAGCTGGTGGCTCCGCCCCCCGGCCCCACTCCTGGGCCCGTCCCCGGGCCCGTTCCTCCCTCGCTGCCGCCCATCACCAAGAATCGCTTGCTCATTTGGATCTTTGGACATTTGCAAGCCAGGTCCTTCATGTGCACCCACAGGATGTTGTCGCCACGCTTCAGAGGTTCCCCTCGGCTTTTGTACACAGACACCAGACTGACTGAGAACTTGGCCCAGTCCCCCACCGTCTCCATGTCCAACACGTTGACCTGCACCGCTGAGAAGACATCAGGAAGGAACATGTTTGGGTCAACAGGTCTAACACTGCATTTATATCCATAAGAAATTACATTTGAATTATTTCTTACCATAATCCTTCTTACAGTATTTCTTCATATTGATCTTCAGATTGCCTTTCACTGGTTTACAGTAAGACTCACAATCTGCAAAAAAAGTTGAAAACCTACATTTATAGGAATCCTTTATACTACTACTCATGTTAACACTGAGATAAATGAATGAGACATGTGTAAATAGTACTATGTGATTATGAATGTGCAAAGTACAAGGAATGGTGTTTCTTAATTCTGAGTTTAGATAAATGTGTTACAATGCATCTGACAAATCACTGAGATATACCAGATGAGTAAAAGTGTTCCATTTGACTTGTTTTCTGGGGTCTTGAGGAAAGACAGAGCATGGTGGGAGCAGGTCATGGTTGGATGAATATGAATAGCCCACGGCTGCCAGTGTGATGACTCAGACCACACATTGGGTAGATGACCTCTTCTGACCATTGTTGGAAGGGTTGCCAGTAATGAGGCGTTATATTTATGATCGTGACAGTGGAAATTCATTTCTTGGCTGATCTTAGATCTCTTCCTCCCTGACTCCAAGTTGAACCATCTTTCTGTTTAGTCAACAGTCAAAACCATATCCTTAATCCAAATCTTCCTCAGAGACTTGGGCTTAGTCTTACAACATAGAAAATTAATTTTTCCCAATTTCAATATTATAATTAGAAAAATCTTCTTCTTTCTCCTTTACACAATGTCAACAAATCTTTATTTTCCATTGAGAGATTCAGTTTGAAAATATGTGCAGCTGTTAAAAAAAAGGCCTCAATATGCATGCATGCAAGGTAATTTATTACTATTTTTTTTACACAGCTGAAGTGAGGGGACATGAAAAGTTGACCGTGGAATGTCAGAGCATGAAACTGCAAAACCACATGCTGGCAGCAGGACTGGTATCTGCCGTCAGGCCTCTTTTTGCCTTCAAAAGGAAAACCATTCGGTCAAGTAACTCTCAAAAGCAAACCAAATGAGACTGCTGGACAGGAAATGCCCCAATAAAAAAAATAAAAAAAAAAACAACGTGAAAAATTCTGCTTTTGGGGATGCGTGAATGTAAGGGTGTTACATTGTTCACTTTTGAGGGAAGGACTGGTTTGGAATAAGAAACAGTAGACCACCGAGCTCATAAAATTGTCCAGCAGGCTTGGTTGTATATCAGACTGCTGGGGATTTTATTAGGAGAGAGGGGAAAGAAAAGGAAAGAAACAGAAAATGAGAGAGCAGGCAGCACGTGAAAAAGTGTAGGTGCAGATATGGACGGGTGAGGTGTGTGGATTTGTGTGCACTGTGTATTCGACACAATTGTCAGACTGATTCATAATAATGGTGGGGAGTGAGGGAAATGTATGGTGTATAGTAGCTGATCTGAAGTTATCAGTGGTGAAGCAGTGTTTGGGAAACAGTGGGTGTTTCCCATGAGGAGTTACTTGGTGCTGGTTCTTCACCTGGAAAAGCTTATGGTGAATCATCCAATGACCCATAAGACCAGCCCACTGGCAACATGCACAATTGGCTCCAGGGATATCCCTTTCACCATGCCATGACAAGGACAAATTGCACCCACCACCCCTTGCACAAAAAGTTTTTGGAGGGTCCCAAATGTCTGATGGTGAAGCTTCTTCTGTGGCAGTTTAGAAAGGGAAAGAAAGATGGGGAAAATATAGTGCTGCAGTGAATTGACTTTCACAAAGGTCTAAGGCTCTTTACAATTTTCTCAAGAAAGGACTTGGTATGCAACAAATAAGGCCTGTTTCTCAGCATGGGATCTATTCAAGGGATTTGCATTATTAAATACATTTGTATACTTGTGGACATAGCTGCTACTTTGCTTAGTTTTGCTCCGTTTAAGTCTGAAACATATTCTGTGCTAATTTCTTGCACTATATTTATCTCTTTTTTTTTTGTCCAAAGCTGTTGTACAGTAGGTACACAACCTAAAAGTTAAATTGGCAGTTTAAAACCTTGACTCCTTGGTCTTTAAGGGTTCTCTTTTTCCTTATTGTCAGGCTTTGTGAAGGCCTTTATAAGCCTTGATAGACTATAATATTATTTTCTCTCTAATAGAATACATATAATACAAACTGAATTTGTTGATTTTCCTTGCTGAACTCAAATAACACACACATTCTGAGTTTTCAATGCAAAATCTAAATTTACAGAGATTTACCTCATAATTCTGGAAAGTATGCCATATTCTAGACAAATATAAACACTGTGAAATTATATCTGATGGAACATAGGGACATACTGTATAATAGAGAGGGACCTTTATTGTAAACCGTTTTTCTTTCACTGTATAGTATTAGATCTTATTGAAGCTTCTTCTGTTGAGTTACACTACGTGTTCATACTATGTGACCACTGATGGCCTTCAGCTTGTGCCAAGGTATCCAGCCATTAAAAACATCTTGAACTTTGTAAGTCAAACCCACAAATAGCCCAATATTCACCACTTTGAAATGTAAGAAGTACCTTGTCAAAAGTTGGAAATTTATACTGTGGTTCGTAGACATATCCAGGATTTTTAGAGAAGAACGGACATTAAAAGAGTGACTATTATTAAAAAAAAAAACATACTTAAATACCGGTGGCTAGGTGGTGGCACATAGGCAGTAGTATGTTACATTGCATGGTATATCTGTAATCAACGCTATCCAGTTGCAAATTGAAGTCGCAAAAAACAGGGTAATAGACCAGAGCTTAAAGGGAAGAATTGGAGGGATTGATTTAATATATTTCCCCAAGGTCACTCTTTTCACACCTTACAAGTAAGACTTCCATCATAACCCCCTAATGTAAGCAACCACCTCTGCTGCCGATCCACTGTCTACGCATCAAGGCTCAATTAACCTGAGGCTTACGGGCATGGAAACCTGAGCCAAAGACACAGGTTTTTAAGACAGTAAAAACTGCTGCTGGCCCCCGTGCACTTACTCTTTGTGCATTACTTTAAATTAGCAAACCTGCTTTGTACCGGTATTTATTCCACACCTTAAACCTCCTTCAGAGATATTAACAAAATATGTTTTTGTGTCTTTCACGATGCAGCAGTGCTTATGGGAGAGGTTCAGAGAGAGTATACTCACCCGCTGGTTCCTCTGTGCTGCTCACCACAGCTGTGGGGTTAACCACAGGGATTTCTGAAACACACACACAATATATACACAATTACCTAACTCGTGAAATGTAAATCCATACCTTTCAAATAACTCTGAAGTGTTTTGGCTGGTGGGCCACTAGGAGAGCATGTGGGGTCACAGAAACAGAGTACGCCAAAGACATTACGATGGGTTCAAAGTAGTGGGTAGGGGAAGGTTTAAAGACTATATCAATTTACCAGCAACAAAATCAACCAAGGTAAAAGTACAGGGGAAAGAAGAAGACGAGCAAGAAGAAGAAGATGAAGAAAAATCTAATCAGGATTGGCAGAAGCACCGGGGTTGTCCAACACTCAGTTTGGATTGTGATAAATGTATGCCAACTATGTAAATGGAAACACACGAGGCTTCGTTAGATAAATGCTGACAGACTGACAAGGACACTTATTAGTGGTGAGATGGAAGACAGGCTCAAATAGACCGTGTGTGCCAAGTACTAATAGGGTGGTTTAACCACTGCATTCTCTTTTCTTTCACTTATTCTGAGACAGAATAAGTGACAGAAAGTTTTGTCAGTTTAAGTAAATGGAGCTCACATCACCTGCAACTCCAACATGCAGAAGTGAGGGTTATTTAAAAAAGACTAATCTTAGTGAGAAGCTGATTCTCTGCACCACACTCATTAAAAATTAGAAACGACTGCACTGGATCAGTCTCACTATCCTTTAACAGATGCTAGATTAACACTGCTGTGTAATCTCCATACAAGCATGTATGGACAGATGGCAAGGGGGCAGTTTTTGTTGGATTGTCATGAGACAGATGCAACCCTCCCTTGCTGTGCCCACTGGCTACATTAAAAAGTGCCTTGTGGAATTCCTCCAGGACCTCTGCTTTAATCATATGCAACTTTCCAACACAAAGGCTAATGCTAACAACGGAGCCTCTACTTTTACCGTAAACAGAATTACTGGAACGCCAGCTCAGCATCCACCCAGAGGATCTGCTTTTGATTGGAGCTGAAGGTTGAGGGTTTGAACCAAATGAGTGGGAGTGCGTTGGAGGGAGGGGGGGTTCTTGGAAAGCTGTTTTGAGGCAAACACAGCAGTTGTCTCCCTTAAATTATGGACACCCTGCCAACAAAAACAAACACAGGCAAAGAGGCTTTGCGAAGGCAGGCACAGCTGCTAGAAGCCACTCGGAGTCCGCGTGTGCCCTCATGGCCACATATTGTGAAGATAGACAGATGATGAAAGGATCATTTGGATGTGGGCTGCAGCCACCATACTAATTGGCTGCTTAATAGGCTCATCTCAGGGAAAGGAGAGTCTCAAGAGGATATAAGGTGCCCACCAGGAAGCCACATTGGCATAAGAAGCTGTCATTAACAGTATTCATAATGGATCCAGGTGTGTCCATAACTTTCAGATGTGCATAACCTGTTTTTATCATTGTTGTTATTACATAGCTCAGTAGGACTCAGACAAGTATGGTTGGCCATCCATGACCACAGTTGTCCTGTTACCCATGCTCCATCTGCTCCGGAGATGCATGTGAAAAAACCACGGGGCTCCATGTTGCACCGTGTCGCGGCGCTGGCCGTGGCGCGGGGTGGAGCAGCACTATGTGCTATAGCACGATGTGCTACAGCGGAGGCTAGCTAGTGAGAAACGTGCAATGTGGCCCAGTGTGGTGGAGAGTTGCCCTCTATTACACACGCCTGCATGTGCCAAGCCACTGGCAAAATTCATAACCCACATAGACACACACACACAAGGTTGTCACAGGAAATTAAAAAACTGATCTACAGCTACTGGAGTACACACACACCCACACACACACCTAAGTTGTGGGTTCTCACCAAAGCTCTCCACTAACTTGCTCCAGATATCAACAATACTGTTCTTTATTCACTGAACACGTTTTAGCTCAGCGTGTGTCTGAACTACACTTTGGTAAATGTTTGTACTTTAATGTAGGAAATAATCTGAAGAATTGCAGCGGTCATGCAGCGCCACAAAACGCAGACAGCATAGGGTGCAATACTGTGCGTCTTTTCAATTATGTTTTGCAAGTTTTTGCTGGGTTTTGCTCTCCGCTGTTCGTTCACAATAGAGCTTGTCAGTTCTTAAGGTAGTGTGAGTGACGGAGGTATAAAGAAACCGGTACGCGTGTCTTCCTATTGCAGCGATGACTTACTGATGCAGGGCGCCACCGGGGAGCGGCTCTGCTGGTAGCCCTTGGCACAGCGGTTGCAGGTGATGCCGGTGACTCCATCCTTGCAGGGACACTGACCCGTGGTCTGGTTGCACGTCTTGCCCGCTGCGCCCACAGGGTGGCAGTCACAAGCTGGTGTAGGTGTTTGGGACAGGTGGAAAAGGGCAGGACAGGTGAAAGAAAAACAAAAAAAGGTCAGTCATCAATTCTTCCAACTCGTCACCAAAAAAATATATACAAGATATTACACCATTCTTTGGATTGAGTCTGTATCCAAACCACTCAAATAATCTGCTTTAGGTATAAATGATTGGCTCAGGGTTGTAAATGTTTTGCCCAAATTGCAGTTGTTTTCTGGATTTTTTGTATGTGGCAAACATGTTGAATGTGTTACTAATTTTCTGACGGGCAGAAAGCTAAGTAAGTGAGAACTGATTTATGACCAAAAAGGTGTACCATCCTGTCACCTCTCTCTCTGTTTCCTGTCTCCCAAATCCGACATGCCTGCCTGGTTTTACACACTCTTTGCCATTTCATCATTTCCCGAAAGTTCAGTGAATGCCCAGCAAATGCCAACACCTACAGGCAATCCTCAGGCCACCTTCCTTTGGCCACAGTTTTATGAGCTTTTCATGATGTGGTCAATTCAATAAAGCCACTTCAAGTAAAATTAAGCTTTCCAGTCACAAACAAAAAATACAAGATCCAGAATGATGATCTGAAGGTCTTTGACAGAAGTTTATATAAAAGTAGAGAGGACGACAGGAAGATTTAAAGAGATGCATATGACAAAGTCAAAAGCAGAGGAGAGCATACATAATACTTCACCATGGCCCAATCAAAACCTCTCATGTGCTCAACTGCATTAACAAAAAGAAAAACCAACATCTGGTCAACGAAATCTACCTAAAACAGATGCCCACAACATAAAATTAGATACTGTACCTAAATGACAAATTTGGTCCACCAAATGGAAGATAAGTACCTTACATGATTAAACACTAAAGTTATAAATTCACAGGAACATCAGTGGTATATTTAAATCCCACTTACTGTTACTCTGGAATGACCTGCACAGGCAGCTAATTTATTTTACTGACATAATCCCAAAGAAGCAGCAATTTAGGAAATCCCAAGTGAACATCTGGCCTTTGTTCTTATCTGACTCCCATTGTAAAATATACTCATACAAAAGCACTGAGGCAGACTTGTTATTGTCAAAGTTTAGCCAGAAATTACACGATTATCCAAAACGACTTATTTGTGGAAAAACCCTGAAACCCAACTGAGATTCGACTTGCCAGAAAAAAAGGCAGCTACTAACGTGTCATTTTCTTCCCACCACCCAACAGAACCTTAAATGTGTTAATATGCACCTCATAGTTTTTAGCTTGTATAACAAAGGAAAAGACCAGAGGACTGGCAAAGGTAGAGTTTAAATTCCTGAGACTGACCCATGAGTTATTATAGTGTGTCTGGTGTCAGAGATTAATTGAAGCTCACATCTTTAGAAACCTTACGCATTTCCTCACAAGCCCCGCCAGCCTGTAGGTGAAACTAGCCGTGTCCCGTACGAAGCTCTGCATGTAAATCTGATCCTTCAGCATCTATGCAAAATACCAGGAATTTATCATGCGAGTTCCGTCAAGAAACCGGAGCTTTGATGATATTTAATCAAATTCATGACTAACCTAAAGGCAGCACAGATGTGCATGTGGTAAAGTCAGCAAACAGCTCACAGACAGACTTATCTCCCACTCTGTGCCAACCACACCTCGGTCTACAGAAGTCAGTCTGAGCTGGAGCTGCTGCCAATAATTTCAAATGCCACAGTGCCTGTGGACCATTTGGGAATTTCTGACATTGCCTAAGAAAGTGTACTGAAAATCTATCAGATCCCTGCATCAATACATCCACCTATAGAAGTGAGCCATTAACCTTTGAGCTATTACTAAGTGGTAGTTAGTTGTTGAGTGTGGTGAGATCCTTTGCAAAGTAAGGAAGGAAGTTTAATCAAAATAATGAAGGTTGATTTTTACTTAATGGTCTCCCTGCCCATGAAAAAAATGTCCAAAGCTCACATGGGATAATCCCCTGATATTTGATCTATTCAATACTGGTTTTCTGGTGCTCTATCAAGCCTGCTGAGACATGTGGTGGAGCACTGACAGGCCATTGTTCCCCCACTGATCACTGAACACGGCTCGGGCTATCGACCAGGTCAGTATAAACAAGACGTGAATTATGTTAGACATTCTCTCTACCCATCTAAACAGGCACCGTCAGTTAAGACTTCAGAGTTTACCATTAGTGTCCACATTGTTCAATAAACAGTCAGCAACAGCCAGATCTGTGTGACATGTGAAGGACAGAGTGGGGATGAGGGGGTTGGTGGTGTCAATCTCTACCCGAGCGCTCCTCCTCTGAATGTTTTTTTTCTGAAGTTTTATGTGCAGGGGCTAGAACCGGTTAAGAAGCTGTAAAAACGTCCACAGATGTTGATGACTTTTCAAGCCTGTGTGACTGCATATGTGACAGGCACCGCCTTGGGATTTGTAGTCCTTTGAGAGGCCTCTGCCGTTTAACTAATTAGTGTTAGGACATGTGAGTGTGTGTGTGTGTGTGTGTGTGCGCCTGCATGTGGGCTAGAGTGCCGGTGAGGGTTCCTCTTTGTCTGCAGTTATTCAAAGTGTGCACATTTGGAGAAGATTGTGCTATTTATATGCTTTGCTGGAAATATGTTTTAACAGTTGATTACATTCATCTGGTTACTTCACTTTGTAAATGGACAAAATAGATGAAATGCTCAAATCGTACTAGCTGATATCTTTAGAAAAAAATCAACCTTAGCATTTAGGTCGACGACATTATTGAACTATAATGAATTTGAGCATGGCAACACCACACTGCATTAATGAATGTAAGGATGTATCCCCCTCATTCTCAAAGCTCAGGGAAAAAAGATCAGTTAAGACTTGTCATCATTGTTGTTTATAAAATTCCTGAGGACTTTGGCCAAGTTTTCCAACACCTTTTTTAATTTTTCAATTGTGGCCCAAAGAAAGAAAACTTGTGCCCCTGTAGCAACAACATGCCACAATCACAAACTGCTTAGAACTGTGTTGAGGCCTCATGGATATACTGCTGTGGGATATTTGAACTAGAGAGCCTGAGCCCTTCGATTCCCCTTAAGCTGAATTATTAGTATTTCACAATGAAGGCCAGGTGTGAGCTTATATTTCTTCACTCTCTCCTCTCGGTGTCTTCAGACACCCATCTAGAACAGGTTTGATTAGAAACAGGCATGGCCCATTCATCCTCTTAGTCTGCACAGCCCCCAGTCCTCCCCAATACTGTCTCCCCCTTAGAAAACACCTGCATTTTATTGTCCCTTTCAGATGTGTCACCCAGCTACTTCAGGCATACCACACCTCTGACTTCCATCACTACATAGACCCCATTAAATCAAACTTGAAAGAAAGGACAAAAAAAAATAAGTCTGAGAAGAAACAGCATGAGAATAAGAGACAGACGAAGGTGTCAAGTTTGTGGTGGGTCACAGGGAGAGAAGTCAGAAGTTGGGAGCAGTTGGAGATGGTGGTTATGAACCATCTGTGGAGATGGAGATTAGAACAGAGCTCCTACACGGCTGTGGAATTGCTCTGATCAATCACTGAGACAGGCCGCCCAGCAGAGGCTCCTTGGATGCTAACTTTAATATCACATCTGGAGCCTTCGAAGGAGGGTGATAAACAGTTTATCACCTGATCACTAGGCTTTGATAGGGACAAATTGCAGTGTCAAGGGGTTTGTGTGTGTGAAAGCAATTACATTTCCAGGTGTTGCAGAAAAATGGACGATTTGAGAAGTGGACACTTCTCTGAATTGATATGTACTGCAGCACATGACATTGTGTTCATTATTTTTGGTGAATTAAAAGGTCAAACAAGCTCCATCTTAAGGAATGTGACCAAGTCACTGAAGAGTTTTTGCCATTACATGATCTATGGCTCCACATCCAAGCAAAGCTCACATGGGTGACTTGGGCTTGATATCATTCCATTTTTAACCTCCAAGTGTTGAGTTTCAACTTGTGTCGGCCACAGAAGGAAAACTGAGTTGAAGCCAGCAAGAGATTCTCACTGTGAAATGTCAACCAAAAGATCTTACAGGCCACGAGCTTTGGCAGCTCTCACTAATACTTTTTTATGTTCTGGAAGTGTTGTTTTACCATCGTCAAGATCCACAGAATGAAAAAAACACCACATCTCTGCTATTTACCCAAATATTTTCCTGAGCAACAAGTACAGGAAACTGATATTATTTTTGCCATGCCTCCAGCACAATATCTGGCTGAAAGATGTTCACTGCAAATGTGAAATAATAAAACACATTTTTCCATGAGAGATGCCTTGGTGAGAAGATACTATTATGTGGTGTGTGGGGTTTGGGGAAACATTTGATGGGACGGCCATACAAGCTTTAGACACAGTATTAATTCATCTTTAAGCTATATTCAGACATGCTTATATTTTTTATAGAAGGTTACCATGATAGCATGTGTTTCCCATCACACTGGAGCATCTAGCTCTTTTTACACTTTTTTTTTTACAAAGCCTGGCATTTATGAGGTAAAAAACATCTTAATTTGCTCCACTCTTTTCAGGACAGCAGACTTATATATAAGTCTGCTGTCCTGCTATAAATTGATAAATAGATATAAATAAGAATCAAAGGGCTTAAATCTGTGACCGCTTTCCTTAGAAAACCTAACTATGTGCTCTATTTTAATTGACACCACACAAATGGATATTTTTCAAGCATATGCAAGGTGGAAAAACAGGGGGGGGGTATTATTGATTAGCAATTAATGCAACAGACAAGAATGAGGCCGACAGGTCTGAAGTTCGCTTGATCACAAAGTCTTGGGAAACACAGTTTTACATAAAAGTGTACAAATAACACAATGTGGGAAAATAATTGGGCCAAAAAATAACAAAACAAAGGAAAAGGGAAAATGACGTTTTTTTTTTTTACCTTTACAGGCTCGTCGATGAGTGATGGGTCTGGCCATGTCCCTGTAAAAGCCTTCCTTGCAGTAGTGGCAGTGACGTCCGGCGGTGTTGTGGCGGCAGTTCATGCAGACTCCTCCGCTCTTTCTCCCCGACAGCTTGTACAACTCCATGTTAAATCGACAGCGGCGGGCATGGAGGTTGCAGTTACATGCTGCAGAGGGAAGACAAGACAAGTTTTGTTGTTGCATCAGGAAACATTAGCAAAACAGACACTGATGCTCACAGTTTTTACCAAAAGATATTTCACCATCATGAAGAGATAGCGTAAACCTTACAATGATACATATGCTCATACTAGTCGGTATATCACAGGGGGAGCAGGGAGAGAGTTTCCAGTGAAGTGGTGTGGTGGTGAGTGGTTTATAGTCTACACAGTGGCTGTGAGCTTGGCTGCTATTCCAGTAATCATCAATCAAATGTGATATTTGCAGAACTCATTTTCCCCGTTTCATAATTAATGAATTCAGCTTTTCTCACCTCATTAGTTCTTAATCTCTGGAAAAAAAGAGACGCTCATTTCATGAATCACTGATGAGAAAAGACTTCTAAGATCTATTAAAAGCTTGTAGGCCCGAGCTAGCTGGCTTTTAAATGAGGCGAGCAGAATATATGGGACATGTGATTTGAGGCTCTGTCTCGTCACAGTCTCTCGCATTTCCACTGGTTCCTCACGTTGGCTTGCAGGTCTTTCCGTGATTTCACTGCATTCGCCGGCTCTGACAGTATTGATAAACTCTGTTCACTCTCTACATGTGGGGTTTGTATTTTGAGCTGTCTGTTGTGAAACCCTCCATGTTTGTGTAAGGGAGTCTGATCCAGACCCTCTGCTGGTTAAATCAGAGTCAGTCCTGGGACCTGAAGATTTGGCTGGAGCTTCAAAGTCGACCGCTGCAGAGCTCAGCTCCGGTTCAAAGTTATCCGCGAATAAATTCGACAAGAGTAAACAACAGCCGAGACTTCGACCAAAAATGTCAACAGTTGTGGCAAAAGAGGTTATACTGGATCACGTATGAGACGTGATATTAGTTAACTAAAGTCAGAAGGGATAGCGCTGGAGAAAGTAGATTTAAAAAACAGTGAATGTTTATAAAATGAACAAGACATAACATTAAAGACCAAGTAAAGACAGAAAACCTGAGGAATTGGAAGCTTGTGTATCAGTGTGTTTGCAGCTTTTTGTGCAGGAAAGTTCCTGTAAAGAAATCACTGACAGAATGGATGAAACATAGACATCCATTGAGATACTGAATATATCATATACACTCTTTTAAATGATCAGTTGAATCATTCCTTCATCTGTGTTAAAAGATATACAATTTGTAACTTGAGATTTTGATCTAACACTTTGTAAATGTGCATATAATTCTTAAATAATTAGACCCTGACCCTTTTAGTGAAAAGTACATTGTTACTTCTGGATATAGCCATAGTGTTAACCAAACCCCAACCACCGCCTCTCACCAAATTATATATGATAACTGTTGTGTTGCCAAAGGGTTGTCTGTACATAATGTCAAAAAAATGTTCAATTGTGTAAACAGCTTCTATAGAAAAGGTGCAAAAATAGAATCAATTAGCCAATATTTTCTCTATTAATGTCACGGTCCCTTATATAGTTACCTACATCTTAAAGAACGAATGCATAAGCATATTTTAGTCATTTAAAGTGACTGATGATAATTTAACATTGGTGAGGAATCTCTCCAATTATAACAGAGGTTGAAGGTACTCTGAAGGATTGCCATACAAATCTATTCATTTATGTAAATTCCGAAAGAATTAGTGATCGGGTTTGGTTGGGTATTAACATAAAATCCAACAACAAAAAAACACAATATACAACAATAAAGTTAAATAGTGATGCATGTTAAAGAGACAGTTGAAAATATGGTATGTATTGATAAACCTGGTTGTCTGGATTTTCACTGAGTAAAAACTAACAAAGTATGCCTTTAGGTAATAATGGCAGGAGTGAGAATTTACATCTGCATTCACACTGAAAGGGAGGCCTGGCACCTGGTTAGAAGTGAGGCCCACTTTTCCCAGACCCTGGAAAAAAAAAGAAAAAAGTGGGGGGTAGAGGGCACATTCCCAGACTGTTTCCCAATTCCATCTGGTTATTTTGTGGCCCAATTTGTGAGGAATTCTGTTCTTAATGAAGAGCTGTTATATCTATAAATTCATATCAAGGCAGCACTGTTTGTGTAGAGACACCCCTGGTTTCTGGAATGGACTAAAGAGCCCAAGATCAGAACTGTCCCTTGATCCCATCCCAGAGAATTGAGAATAATAGATGGGAGGGGGAGTGCTGTGATTATGATCAAGAATCTCTAACACACAAACAGCTGTGAGCACTTGTGTCCATTAACACCTTGCGGGGGAACATGAAAGCGATGGATCAGATTTTCTCCCAAGCTGAAGTACACACAGACTTCTCATGGCATCCTGTCGATTTACTGCTGTGCAACTGGATCAGCCGGCACAGTCCAAATGTAAGGCAGGATATGTTCAAGTGTGGAGAACGTGAAAAAAGCTTCTCAACGTTAACCTTGTAAATGACTTAGCAGGTGTACTATAGCTGTGATGGCTTTCACACCAGCCAGACACTCTGTGAGGGCCAAAAAACAGAAGAAAGAAATAGTGGCACGCATAGTCGCTCAGTATCTGACAAGAAAAAGAAAAAAAGAGCAGAGAAGGTCTCCAGAAATATTATTATACAAGAGTCAAGGAGAACAGTTATTGTGTGGGGTTATTACGCTCTTTTCCTGAATCACAGCTGCTGAATGATCCTGGAATGTTTATGGGTTTGTTTTGAAGTGCTTATGCACACACATGCTGATACTCCACCTTCCATCAACCTGCCACCCCCATCTAAACTAAATTAGGCTCAGCGGGGATAACCGAACACCGGTGTAGGCCATTTTTCAATTCATTAACACATCAAAGTCTCACTGTTGCTCTCCAAAAAGCACAAAGTCTTATCAGTAGGAAGGCAAACAAACAGAGAAGAACTATCTGGTCTTCAGGTTAACACAATTACTTTACGGGTCAGTCCAACAATAAGGATACGCTGAGTAAGTTTCTCATGTTTTTGCAGAAATAAAGACACAAGCTATTTTTTTTTTGTTAAAATCAGAACATTTTGAAACAAAAAACAACAAAGGTGATGGAGTAACACAAAGAGCAGCCTCTTGGAAAATCACAGGATATGGTCAATTAGTCAAAAGCTCTTATCCTTGACTGATGGTTGTAAAAATGCAAAAGAACTAGACATAATTCAAAAGTGGAGAAAAAAATAGAAAATATGGTCACAGGCTGCTTGATCCCACTCCTGTTTTCATGCGTATCCATGTGAACCAAATGCATTATAAAAAGATTAAATTAATCAAACATTCCTGTGAAAATTAAAACTACAAAGTATTGTGGGAAAGAATCTTCTGCTTTATTTATTAAAGGATGTTTCCTTGTAAAGCAAAGAAAATCCATTTTTAATCAAAGCCCCAGCGATTGAAACACTTTGTCAATCATAAGAAAAAAAAACTCTTCCTCTTCCAAGTTCTTACAAAAAGTTTTCATCTGTTGAAGTCAAAGGTCTTTTCTTAAATGCTCTGAATTCTTTTGAACACAACACACAATTCGTGTTCAGCTATCAAAACAGGTGCCTTTACATATAAATGTGCTCTGACCGAGCTCTCTGGCTGATCTGTCAAGTGTGTTATGACAAATTGGCCCTTGAAGACTACACTAAACAAATAAAACGCAAGTGAGTTTGTGGAGTGCACTTCTTCCCTTTCCCCCTCCATATGTCAGGGATAAATCTAACCTCATTTTTCCTCTAGGTTGAACAAAGCCAAGCCAGTAAGCACAGCCAATTGATTTTGGATGCCTGCACAAAACCCAAATCCCCTGGCTAAAATTGGTCCTTGAAAATTGGAGGGCTCATACCACCACCTTTCCCCTCTTGGCCCAAACCGTGGACCAGACCTGCTGCTGCCCCCCTTGGGTGCTCTCTCTGCCTGGCCAAACAGGCTCTACTATGTTGTCCACTGCCAGGAAGTGTATGTGTGTGTTTTAGTTTGTATGCTGTGAGTGTGTTTGGGCTGGGTTCCACCTGGCTGCTCCAGCCACCTGCTCAGGCCACTGAGGGGAACAACCGGTTAATTAGCTCCTCATTATGGCCATGGCAGTGTGGACACAGACGTGTGCACGCACACATGCACACACAAATATCCACCCATCAAAGGCTTGTGCGAGAGGTAGTAACCTCTCACAAAACAACAAGGACCAAGTGATTTAACACAAAAAGCGTGAACGCAGTCTTAAACAGATGTAAGCTCTACTGGCTCTGTAAGCTCTAATGAGCTGTGGACAACAAGCTGAGACCAAGATTTAAGAAGTCTAAGAAGAGGACTAAGAGGAAACTACAACTCTCTTTCCCTGCGTGTGTTTTGACTCTGATTCTGCCTCTTCGTAAGACCCATTTAAGTCAAATTTACTCCTTCCTTTTCATCCATGTAGACATATCTCTCACATGTTGTTTTCACACATCATCTCCTCCGCTCTCCCTACCCTTGGCTGGTTTTTGTGGTTAACCTCATGCCGTGGGCTTAAGTGGAGGCTCTTGGGATGTTTTTTGAACTTGAAGTCCCTTTAATTTCTCCCCCGAACCTCCTCCTCCCTCTCTTTCCTCTTACTTTCACAAGACCCCCATATCCAGTACTCTTCCTGATAGATCCCAACTCTTTTTGCTCGTTTCCTTCTCTGGCCAACTATCTCGTCTATATATTCATCCAGCTTCTATTTCTCTTCCTGTATGGCATCAGGCGGGCAATGATTTTAACAAAAGGTTGGGAGACCATGAGACTTAGTCTCAGTAGAGAGTTGAGTAGCCACTGATCCACTCTTCTTCTTCACATCTAAACATCATCATCATCTGTCTGTCTTAGTTACTCTTTCTCTCCAGATAGAAAATCCATCAAAGGAAAATGTAGAAAATGTTATACAATCAAATTATCATGGGAAATCAGTATTAACTACGGTCAATTGTAACGGTTCTATTTTGGCTTTTATTTTTGGCACATGAAATCATGAGGTCCAATCTATGAGACGCCTATGCAGGTTCAGAAATAGCAAGCGACAGATGGAACACAA